CCCCCCACCCCCCCCCCCCGCCCCCCCCCCCCCCCCCCCCGCCCCAAATCCCCTCACGCTTCCCGCCAAAATCCCCTCGCGACTGCCGGCCGTAAATTCCCTCACGATTCCACCTCAAAACACCCAAAATTCCCTCGGAACCCCCCCGAAACCTCTTGGGGATCCCCCCCAAATCTCAGGGATCCCCAAATTCCCTCAGGATTTCCCAAAATCCCCTCAGACTTCCCAAAATCCCCTCAGACTTTCCACACTCCCCTCACGATTGTCGGCCGTAAATTCCCTCACGATTCCGCCAAAACCCACCCCAAATCTTCTCGGAACCCCCTGAAATCTCCTCGGAACCCCCCGAAATCTCTTGGGGATCCCCCCCAAATCTCAGGAAGCCCCAAATCCCCTCAGACTTCCCAAAATCCCCTCAGACTTCCCAAAATCCCCCCAGACTTCCCCAAAATCCCCTCAGACTTTCAAAAGTCCCCTCACGATTGTCGGCCGTAAATTCCCTCACGATTCCCCCAAAACCCGCCCCAAATCCTCTCGGGACCCCCCGAAATCTCTTGGGGATCCCCCCCGAAATCTCAGGAACCCCCCAAATCCCCTCCGGACCCCCCCAAATCCCCTCAGGATTTCCCAAAATCCCCTCAGACTTTCCACACTCTCCTCACGATCGTCGGCAGGAAATTCCCTCACGATTCCCCCAAAACCCGCCCCAAATCCTCTCGGAACCCCCCGAAATTCCCCGGGTACCACCCCCAAATCTCAGGAACCCCCCAAATCCCCTCAGACTTCCCAAAATCCCCTCAGACTTCCCAAAATCCCCTCAGACTTCCCAAAATCCCCTCAGGATTTCCCAAAATCCCCTCAGACTTTCCACACTCCCCTCACGATTGTCGGCCGTAAATTCCCTCACGATTCCCCCAAACCCTCTCGGAACCCCCTGAAATCTCCTCGGAACCCCCCGAAATCCCCCGGGTACCCCCCGAGCGGCTCCGGTCTCACCTCCCGGCAGCAGCAGCAGCAGCAGCAGCGGCAGCGCCGGCCCCGCTCCGGGCCCCGCTCCCGGCTCCCGCCGCCGCCTCCTCATCGCTCCGGGGCCGCTGTGGCCGCTCCGGGCTCTCCCCTCCCCTCCCCTGAGCGCGGCCACGCCCCCCGCACCTGGCCCGGATCCGCCCCTCCCCCATCCCAAAACACACCCCCGGCACCTGCGCGGGAACTTCCGGCGGCCTCACCTGGCCGGGATCGGGACCGGCCTCACCTGAGCTCACCTGGATCGGAACCGGGACCGGCCTCACCTGAGCTCACCTGGCCGGGATTGGGACCAGCCTCACCTGAGCTCACCTGGATCAGAACCGGGACCGGCCTCATCTGAGCTCACCTGGCCAGAATCAGAACCGGCCTCACCTGAGCTCACCTGGCCCAGATCTGCCCCTCCCCCCTCGCAAAATGCAACCCCGGTACCTGCGCAGGAACTTCCGGCGGCCTCACCTGAGCTCACCTGGCCGGGATCGGGACCAGCCTCACCTGAGCTCACCTGGCCGGGATCGGGACCAGCCTCACCTGAGCTCACCTGGACGGGATCGGGACCGGCCTCACCTGAGCTCACCTGGACGGGATCGGGACCGGCCTCACCTGAGCTCACCTGGCCGGGATCGGGACCAGCCTCACCTGAGCTCACCTGGCCAGAATCAGAACCGGCCTCACCTGAGCTCACCTGGCCGGGATCGGGACCGGCCTTACCTGAGCTCACCTGGCCGGGATCAGAACGGGCCTCACCTGAGCTCACCTGGCCGGGATCGGGACCGGCCTCACCTGAGCTCACCTGGCCGGGATCGGGACCGGCCTCACCTGAGCTCACCTGGCCCGGTATCGGAACCGGGACCAGCCTCACCTGAGCTCACCTGGCCGGGATTGGGACTGGTCTCACCTGAGCTCACCTGGCCAGAATCAGAACCGGCCTCACCTGAGCCCACCTGGCCTGGATTGGGGTCTCACCTGAGCTCACCTGTCCGGGATCGGGGTCTGAGCTCACCTGGACTGGGAAACCTCCCCCCTCCCCCACCTGTGATGTTACCGCCCCGGGCAGCTGTCAATCATCGTGACCACGCCCACCCGCCGAGGCCGCTGCGCATAAACCACGCCCCCAAATGCCCTTTTAGGGTCAAATCACGCCCACTATGCTAATGAGATCAACAAACCACACCCCCACTGTAAATCTGCCTCGAAACCCCGCCCATTATGCTAATTAGAACACATAAATGTATTCAAGCCGCACCCCTTACGCAAATTAATCACAAGGACACGCCCACCCGCACCTTTAATGGGCTCCGTCCTCATTTAGGAGCCCCACCCCCCCATGACGTCACCACTCAATGACCTCATTAACGACCGGAAGTGCCCCATTAACGCCTTAACGAAGCCACGCCCCCCCCAATCCCGCTCCCGACCAATCAGAATCGAGGCCGAAGCTCCTCCCCCAGAATTCCTTTATTGTGGGGGAGGGGCGGGTTAAAAGCGGGGGGGTGGAGCCCGCGGGGGGGGTGGGGGAGGGGCGGGCGAGTACAAAACG